CTTGATCACTGCGTCATCATCTCCATCGGGGGATCCAGCCTGAGAGAAGCGAATGCCGTTGGCAGCTTCGAAGTCGAAGTTGTAAGTTCCATCTTCTTCGTGGACACGGTCGTCCTTGAGGATTGGCACGAACTCGACCTCCTCACTGGATGCAGCACGAGGAGCGCCATAGCTGGTCTGGGGAGCAGTGATTTCCTCGCTCGACTCAGCAGAAGGAACCCCATAGCTGTACTGGGGAGCGGCGACGGCCACGGCGGCAACGGAGGCGAGGATCAGCTGTGGTAACAATGATGGTGTTATTAATTTAGTGGTACAAGACACTAAACATATGAGATAGTTAAGAAAGAAAAGGAAGATGTCACTGATGCGTAGTCAAACAGTAAACCTTCAACAATGAGTCTTCAGTTAGAAACTTATAACATATTTGGATATTCACTCACGAATTTCATGATGATGTGTCAGTAGATACTGGTGCTAGAATGAACGCTGGCCCATCTTATATAGTTGGGACTGACCTTCCCTGCGCACCAAACTCTGGCCCTGGAAACAAATGAGCGTAACCTTCACCTTCACTAAGTTACAAATGGTATTGTATCCTTTTAAATATTTTATATTTAGCAATTCTTTTTCTTTGGTTGCCTTTTTTGAGTGATATTATTTTCTCTTATACATACATCACATTTACTGGAGAATAATGCTAATAATGAAAATACTAGTTGACGAAAAATAATTTAACATGAGAAGTATCATATATATACACAATCTAACCCCCTATTCCTCCATTTTTCTTTATTTCTCTTACTCAGTGTCAGGTGAAGAAAAGTACACTTTCTGTCAGGAAAGAATCCTTACTATAAGTGACTATAACCTTATGAAAACCTGTTACTGTATATTTATAAACATATACATACATATATACGTATATGTATATCCACACACACAAGCGCGCGCACGTGCCCACACGCACATATATATATTTATGTATATACACGCATATATGATATACATATGTATATACATATATGGTATACACGTACAATACACATATGCACATATATATATTTGTGTGTGCGTGTGTAAATATACATACACACAAGAATATAAAAATTAGATCTGATTTTATAGGAATATCTCTATATCCATGCATTTATTTATCAATCTGCTCTGTCCATCTCTCCACGTAAAATGAATCCGATGAGGAGATAGAATCTTAACACACTCGTCATATTGGATGTGGATGATATGAACGAACGCTTATTTCATCAACTTTACACGCACGCACGCACACACACACACGCACGCACGCACACACACACACGCACGCACGCACACACACACACGCACGCACGCACACACACACACACGCACGCACGCACACACACACACGCACGCACGCACACACACACACGCACGCACGCACACACACACACACGCACGCACGCACACACACACACGCACGCACGCACACACACACACACGCACGCACGCACACACACACACGCACGCACGCACACACACACACGCACGCACGCACACACACACACGCACGCACGCACACACACACACGCACGCACGCACACACACACACACGCACGCACGCACACACACACACGCACGCACGCACACACACACACGCACGCACGCACACACACACACACGCACGCACGCACACACACACACGCACGCACGCACACACACACACACGCACGCACGCACACACACACACGCACGCACGCACACACACACACGCACGCACGCACACACACACACGCACGCACGCACACACACACACGCACGCACGCACACACACACACGCACGCACGCACACACACACACACGCACGCACGCACACACACACACACGCACGCACGCACACACACACACGCACGCACGCACACACACACACGCACGCACGCACACACACACACGCACGCACGCACACACACACACACGCACGCACGCACACACACACACGCACGCACGCACACACACACACACGCACGCACGCACACACACACACGCACGCACGCACACACACACACGCACGCACGCACACACACACACGCACGCACGCACACACACACACACGCACGCACGCACACACACACACGCACGCACGCACACACACACACGCACGCACGCACACACACACACGCACGCACGCACACACACACACGCACGCACGCACACACACACACACGCACGCACGCACACACACACACACGCACGCACGCACACACACACACGCACGCACGCACACACACACACACGCACGCACGCACACACACACACGCACGCACGCACACACACACACGCACGCACGCACACACACACACGCACGCACGCACACACACACACGCACGCACGCACACACACACACGCACGCACGCACACACACACACACGCACGCACGCACACACACACACACGCACGCACGCACACACACACACACGCACGCACGCACACACACACACGCACGCACGCACACACACACACGCAC